AAATCAGCATTGGATAAGACCTTGTAATAAGGTATTTCCACCAAACTAAAGGTAGCCCTAATAAAACTGTAGCGCATTTTGATATTTCTGCTATTGAATATTGTGCCAAAGAATTTAATTTTTTTTTTTTCTTTAAGTTGGGCTTAGGTCACAAACTATGGAGAATGTTTTATCTGATTCAAGATTTAAGAACCATTAAGAAGTAATAATGAATTTAATAATAATAATAATTATTATTGTTATTATTATTATTATTTAATAATAATAATAATAATGAATTTTATTCTGTATTCTTTGAGGGTTGGGCGACAGAAGCATTTGAAATTTATCATGCGTAGTATGACTGTAAGTTGCCAGCTTTTTACGCTCTGCGTCAACAAACAGTTTTTTCATCACTCTGTTAGGATAGAGTTTGCATACTGTGAGAAATTCTCATTACAAAAGCTACATTTCAAGGGGTTTGTTTTCCTTGACAGATATAAGAAACCCTTGAAAAAAATGCAACTTGAGTCAAATGCTAAAAGGAGGAGTAAATGGAAGTAATTTTCAAAATAAAATACCATGCACAGTAACGTGCGGCCTGTCAGACATTTTCTATAGTACCTATAATATTTGTTTAAAAAAAAAGACCTTCTACTTCAATTAGAAAAATCAAAAAACGAATTGCAGTTCGACAGAGGTACAGTATGAATAATTCTGGGTTTTAACATGTTTTATTCAGAAAAGTAAGGTATGAAAAAGGAAGGGAAATACAGGGGGTTCTCGACATGCATTGGTCTTCCATTCCTACTGTGCGACATAACTCTCTTTTTTTGCATCATAATCTAGGACATTAAAACATACGATTTTGGAACCTGGAGTTCCCAAAAACGCAAAAAAACGGGGCTGGTGATTAATCAAAATTTTGATTTTGGGTTTCCACGATTATGGGGAAAAAAGAACAATTGACATAAAACAAATATTGTGCCATTCGCCGTACTCGCCTGTTGCTCTCATTCTGTCCTATGGCGTAAATGTTGCAGTGCACACGATAGCGGTGCGCTTCCCTCCCCCCTGAACACGAACAGTAGTTTCAATTTTAATGCTTTGAGACGGGGGGCGGGGGAGGGAGCAACATGTTCGTCCATTCCACGTGACAACTAGTTGCAAGTTTAATTCCGTATGTCGAAATGATGGAACGATAAAATTACCTGTACCTTCTCCTCGTTCCAGGTTAACTGTAATGGCTTTACTATCGAGGATGAGGAACTTTCCCATCTGGGATCGGCAGTTTTCCCTGAGTGAGTTCTTCACATTGTCATACTGATTTTATTATCTTCTTTTTATACAGATAGAAATAGAGCCACCTTCTCTAAGCAATTAATGACTAATGAAATGTAAAGGTTTAATGATCAGCTGATATCAAGATGTAGAGAATGCTGTTTATATAGAGGTGTAATGCTTGTTGATAACACAATTTTTTTTCTTCTTCTTCTTTAAATTAGATCATGAATTTGTGACTCTTGACTTCATTCTTTCTCCATTTCTGCTTCTACAGTGTCGCTCTAATGAACCACAGCTGCAGCCCTAATGTTATCGTGACCTATAAGGGCACAGTGGCTGAGGTCAGAGCTGTTACAGAGATAAACCCCGGAGAAGAGGTATGGAAAAACAGTACGCAGAAATTTTGAGTAAATATTCTGAAATATTGTTTATACTGTATTCTAAAAAAAATAATAATTAAGTCCTAAACATTTTTTTTGTTTGTTTGTGTTAAATAGCAAAAGTGTATATACAGTGGGTACGGAAAGTATTCAGACCCCTTTAAATTAAAGTTCATTTTATTTCTCATTAATGTACACTCAGCACCCCATCTTGACAGAAAAAAAAACAAATACTTATGACCATGTGATATTTCAGTTTTTCTTTTTTAATAAATTTGCAAAGATTTCTACATTTCTATTTTTTCTGTCATGATGGGCTGCTGAGTGTATATTAATGAGAAATAAAATGAACGTTTTTGATTTCAGCAAATGGCTGCAATGAAACAAAGAGTGACAAATTTAAAGGGGTCTGAATACTTTCTGTACCCACTGTATATGTGTATATATACGTATTTATACATATATATATACAATGTGTGTGTATATATATATATATAGAGAGAGAGAGAGAGAGAGAGAGATTATTTTAGTATACATAGTACATGTACTGTGCAGTAAGAATCCAACTGTAGAACAACTTGATCACATCATGGAATGGCCTGCACACCAGTGTTTTAATAGGTTGTGTTTATTTAAACAATAATAGAGTCTCTCCATATTAGGGCAAAAGTCATTGTTCCCTTTCTCTCTGTCCCCTTAGGTTTTTAACAGTTACATCGACTTGCTTTATCCAACAGAGGACAGGAGAGAGAGACTGTTGGATTCCTACTTCTTTACATGCCAGTGTACCGAGTGCACAACAAAGTCTAAGGTAGTGGTGGGGGGGCGGGAGGGAGAGTTGTAAATTATATAAACTTGTCCAGCAGCAGAGTTATAAATTAGCCATCCAATCACATGTTGAGATTGCTATCAATCCTACCGTAAACTAAGAAGTGTGAAGCAAAAAAAGGAGGAAGAACTTGTAAAGAAGCCGAGAGCGACATGCAGGAAATTGACTTTTTTTAGTATGAAGTTAACAAAGTGGTGACCCATCACTGTCTCATTTGACTTTAAAAATAATAAAAGCAATAATAATAAACAGAAATGTATCGAGGTCGGCAGAATGATCAACTTCATTTTCATTTATTGTGTGATCAGTGGATTTATTGATTATCGTCCCCAGGCCTAGTTGCAATAGTAGATACAGTAACGGTAGCTTCTGTTTTACAGCGTGTACCTGAAGTATACACTAGTATTCGGCCATGATTTTTGATTGCAGCAGTGATATCTCTCGCTCTTTATCGCCCTCTAGGACAAAGCCAAAATGGTAACCAGGAAGCTGAGCACTCCTTCAAAGCCGGAGGAAATTGAGCAAATGATCCAGTATGCCAAGAATGTGATTGAGGAATTTAGGAGAGCCAAACACTACAAAAATATCCTCTTCTCAAGACTTCTTTATTTAAAAAGCTTTAATAACTAAATACGGGTCATTTCTTTCTACGGTGTTCTATAACTTTTTGGGTATAATTTGTTTGTTGGTCCATACTCACCTCAACCTCACTCCATATCAGGAGTGTCATTGGTTCTCGGGCCACACACAACCTAATTAGAAGTGTGGGCCGGACCAGTACAATCACCACAATAATTTAAAAATTACAATAAGTCCATGTTTTTGTCCTTTTGTTTTCATGTAAGAAAGTACGTAAGTATATTAGATATTTATTTTTATTACTTAATTTGACCAAAATAATCTGAACATGAAGTGTTTAAGTAATTTTTTTTCTTATTTTTAAAGTTAATCCAACTGGCCGGATTGAACACGCTAGTCGCCATTTTGTCGCCAAATGTTTTCATACCTTTTTCTTACTCCTTTACTCCTTAACTGTGCAACACCTCCCAGTGAGCTGCTGGAAATGTGTGAGCTCAGCATGGAGAAAATGGCCACTGTATTTGGAGACACCAATGTCTACATGCTGCACATGATGTATCAGGCCATGGGTGTCTGCCTTTATATGCAGGATTGGGACGGAGCTATGACCTACGGAGAAAAGATCATTCAGCCGTACAGGTGTGTGAGTTATCTGTGTTCTCCTTGTTCATTTTCCTGTACGCTAGAATCAAAATTGATTTGATTTTGTTCACTCTCGTATTCACTGACTCAACCAAATGTGTCAAATGTGGCGGTTCGTTATCTCTGCAGTGTATACTACCCCGCCTACTCTCTGAACGTGGCATCCATGTATCTGAAACTGGGACGATTATATTTGGGACTGGAAAAAAAGACACAAGGACTGAAAGCTCTGCAGAAGGTATTTATCCACGCAACCAAAGCCCAACATCTTGACCTGGTTTTTAAAATACTGCAAACCCATGCTAACTGACTTAAAAAAATAAATAACTAGTACTACTAAGTTTTTTCAGTTGAAGTCACTTCTACAACCTATTGAATTCTGGGCTGTTTTTGTGTTTATTTTTGCTTTTTTTTTTTTACATTATATGATACAGTTGAATCCAGTTATGGACACATGAGCTTAGATAGAAAATAGAGCTAAATATGGAAATAAGTAATTGTATGGCATTCTTTTAAATACAGAAATGTAATTTTGTCCCATTATTTAGACATCATTAAGGAAAACAACAGAGAACTTGAGGTTAAAATCGATGGAGTTGGTTAAGTTCTGAGGTTAAAATCGATGGAGTTGGTTAAGTTGGCTCTGGTTTTAGTCATGATATGGTTATGGTTGACAACAATCACATTGCAGTTAAAGTGAGGACTTTTCTTGCAGTGGAAACTTTTTTTTTTTTTTTAAATATATGTAAAATCAATGTTGATACACAGTTTTTTTTTTGTTGTTGTTGTTTTTTTTTGGGGATTAAATGATCTGTAAAATCAATGTTGATACACAGTTTTGTTTTTGTTTTTTTTGGGATTAAATGATAACTGGTCTGGAACAGGGGTGTCCAACTCAATCACCTCCCCACCCCCGACCCTCAATTAAAGTACTATTGAGAACCTGATAACATGTATACGTTATCTTTGCTTGTAGGCTCTGGCCATAATGGAAGTGGCTCATGGGAAAGATCATCAATATGTTGCCGAGGTCAAACATGAAATTGAGGAGCAGAAATAACGACTGCGCAGCCTAAAAGCAACAGATAAGAAACCTCCTGCAGAGACGAGAAAAACACACAGCGCAACTGCATGGATTTTGCATGCACCTTAAACCTGTGTGTTGTCATGCTGATTACAGGTGTGACTGGATTTTTTGGATTACATTAGTACATTATGGGTTGCATTACAGATGAGATAGAAAATGGTCTACACTCTATTTATTTTAATTTAATATTGTGTCTGTATACTTACACTTTACCAGTTATCAGGAGATAATTGTCTTTTGTTGGGTTTTTTTGTTTTTGTTTTTTTTTTTTTTTTCATATCAGCCTTTTAAAACCAAAACAACAGCAACTGATGTAACTGTCACAGAAACGGCTGTTAAAGTTTGAATGGAAACTAATGTTTGTGGCGTTTGTAAACTGCTTTTCTTACTGACATAATTTCTATAAAATAACCTAAAGTTAGGGATGGCTCAATCCGATACTCAGGATGGGTGTCGGTAAAAATATTGGTCTGAATTTCAGGATCAAACATTGAAAAATAAACTATAGCTTATCCGATCCGATACCTAAGCCCAAATGCTCAACTTAACTTTGCGTGACATGCCATAAAACCGGGACACTATTTCCTCAGCAATGGCAGGCCACGGCATGCTGGAGGAGAAAAGAAAGCCTAAGATTTATATCAGTATCGGCAGATAATCCGATGTGCTGTATCAGTTTCGGGCCATCGCTAATCTAGCCGCTCTTTGGTAATGGAAAATGATCAGTATGACTAATACTAGTCCTGATGTAGCATTACATTAAAGCAAAGATGTCAATTAGTAATCATTTCGTTATGCATCTAAATTGTACTTTTTAATGTCTTAATAGAACTATGCGTTTTCTTATTAGTCAGGCGGTTTCCCGTGAGTCTTTAAACGCAACACTGCCAGAGAAACAGAGTTATATTTTTTCTTGTTTGTCTTAGCCATGTTGTTTCTCCACAAAGTGTGTTATTATATAAACACAAATATTTGCTCAATTTCCCATAGGTAAACTGTTCAGCAGATGTTTAGTGTACTTTTTTTTTTTTAAAAAAGGGTCTGCTTCTTTTTCAGCATGAAATGGGAAACTTGTACAATGCACAATTTAAATCTGAGCCTTTGATAATTTGACATGTAAATTAAATACATGTGAGTACAGTTTGTTCTTGGCAACCTAATATTTGATGCTGCTGTTTGCTTATTTTTTATTTCATCACTGCAGATTGAATTTTAGCCATTCAAATTCAAAATGAAGATTGAATTTTAGCCATTCAAATTCAATTGAATGAATTGAGGTTTAAAGGTTCTTTCTTTTTTTTTGTCATTAAGGTCAGAAAATGGTGAACCCTTCTATCATCTTTCTGATATTTATCACAATAAAGCATTTAAATCCAGTTTTGAGTAGGACTCCAAAGTAAAGCTATTTTTCATCTTTAATATGATACGTGTGTGTATATGTATGAAATTCTTTTGTCATTAACATTTTTACATGTAGAATGTCTTTGTTTTTCTGGATTTATTTGGCCCTACAAAGTCATAGCAAGTTTACCACAACAAAAGGTATAAAATATTTTGTTGATTTTTTTTTTTTTTTTAATTTTGCTGGAGCAAGCAATTTTAGTTTGGTGCAAGGCAACAGGCAACGTCCTTCTACTGAACGGAGGAGCAGTGAGCTGGCTCAGAAAGAAACAACAAAGCAACAGTTGCACTTTCAACAGCAGAAGCAGAGTAAGTTTACACTCAGTCAAGCAGCTCAATAAGGAATCTGGCTGAAAAAAAATGACTGAATGATCTCGGAGTGATAGCTATGTCCACAGTGATCCTGGAAGACAACCAAGGAGCCATCGCAATCGCAAAAAAAATTCCTGTGGACCACTCCAGGACCCAGGGGGGTGTATTAAACGCCATCACGTGGTAATAAACTGAATGCGTTACACCTTGTCAGATCAAAGCGGAAGTAATCGTTCATTTTGGGTTTGAAGAAAAACTTTAAAATATAAGAAAATATTGAGAAGAAAACACAAGTAAGGTGCAGATTAAAATGAGTAATTTGAACCAAAATAAGAATTAAGTTTTAAAATAATTTCAAAAATACTCTCCGTTACTTCGCCTGTTTCTCGTCTTCAGTCGTAAACGTTTCGAATTTCGAATCTTTTTTTTGGACTCCATTTCGACAGCGCAGAACAAATACAGGACAGAGGTGAGTTTTCAGTGAATTCAGATCTAATATGACAGAGCAGACCATCGTGTCACCATCAAAGTATAAGTGTTTATGTTTTACATCCTCATCATTCAGCTGTCAATCTGTCTCTCTACGGAACCGTATTGCTGCTACACTAAGAAAAACATTGGCTCAGAGTTACGTTATTTCGTGATAAGTTTCACGTAATTTCGTGATTAGTTTCACCTTATTTCGTGATAAATACCGCCAGTTTTTTTTTTTTTTCTCTCAGTGTGGCAGCAATACGCTTCCCTAGTCTCCGTGTTTTACTCTCGATCGTGGAAATTAACTGTCAGACGTTAATGTGACGTCATCGTGATGAAATAATGAAAGAATAAAGATTTTCTTTTTTGTGAGGTAACAGTCAGTTTTTTATTCTTTTTTTTTTTTTCCCCAGAAGATGAGTGTTTCTACAAGGAAAGAAGACAGAGCAGAGTCTCCAGGACCCGGCTGTCTGTCTGTGAAGACTGACTGGTCCAAGGGTCTGCCTGTGGACTTCAGTCCTGAACCAGGGCCTGAACCAGACACACGGTAAGACACTTTGGTCCAGACTTTCCATCTCCTGATGTTCCCTAAAGACAAACTAGAGGAGACAAGGTTATTGTCATGACACTAATTCATAGGGGTGTAACTGTACACACAAGTCACAGTTCGGTATGGATTCAGTACAATGGGAGAAAAGCAAGTAAAACTTACACATGTATAAGACTACTTTTTTTTTTTTCATTTATTTTGTACAGACATTAACTGACCGCAAAGAGTAGAATAAAACATAAAATGAATGCTTTAGTGTTCTCACACCATTCGTTCATTTTGTCTCCATCAGCTCCACACCTCAGGCTGGACTCTCACAGCATTCAGGTTTGTAGATTTGTTTATTTACATCTTCTCTTCAGACACACTGGAACTGTTTGTGAGCTTCCTGTGACCTGTAGAGATCTGGTTAAGTGAAGACACTGCTGATAAAAAGCAGGTGGTTCTCCATGTCTGGGTTTGTTAGAGGAGCTTGTTCACCTGGGTCTTTACTACATTCTGCAGCTGGGTGATTTAAGGATCAATGTTCTTGAGTTCTTGAGTCTGAGCCACTGATATTTAGAGTTTTCTGTCAGGGTTCTTTTCCTCTTCTTCTCAAAAATAGTGTGTCAATCAGATCAATAACAGGCTGCGTTCAACAATGAAAGATCCTGTATTACTGAGGAGAAACCATAGAAACTGATCTGTGTCTGCTTTAAAATGCCAAGGCTTTCCCATAATTCAGTGGGACTTTAAGAGGTCAGGACAAACTCAGAGCCAGATCTTTATTCTCTGATGTTTTGATGACAGAAATGAAGCAGAACAGCATCAGTTTTTCACTGCAGACTAAAAACATTTCAATTTCTGTTGTTGGTGGAAATAAAGATCAGATCTTCAGCCTAATTTTTCCTCTCCACTCTGACTTTTCTTCTTGTCTTTCAGTGGACATTGGTCTGCAGAAGGTTGTAGAAGAACATAAACTCAGTCTGAGGACCAGATGTGAACATGTGACTGAAGGAGCAGATGATACAGGGAGTAGAACCCTCCTCAACAACATCTACACTGAGCTCTACATCACAGAGGGACAGAGTGGGGAGGTCAACACCCAACACGAGGTGAAACAGCTGGAGACTGCTGCCAAGAAGAAGATCATCAACGACACTCCCATCAAGTGCTGTGACATCTTCAAAGCCTTACCTGACCAGCAGGGGGCCATCAGAGTGGTCCTGACCAACGGTGTGGCTGGTGTTGGAAAAACCTTCTCAGTGATGAAGTTCACTCTGGACTGGGCTGAGGGTTTGGAAAACCAGGATGTGAGTCTGCTGGTTCTGTTTTCATTCAGAGAGCTGAACCTGATCAGAGATAAGCAGGTCAACCTTCTCCAGCTGCTCGAGGTTTTCCATCCAACATTAGAGAAGATCACAGCAGAGAAGCTCACTGTCTGTCAGCTGTTGTTCATCTTTGATGGTCTGGATGAAAGCAGACTCTCACTGGACTTCAACAACATGGAGGTTGTGACTGATGTCACACAGACGTCATCAGTCAATGTTCTGCTGACAAACC